TTTTTTTTTTGCTATTTTTGTTTTCTTTCCTTTTGTTTCTGTATGTTCATTTATATTTGGGAGTGTAAGGGGAGGCATAGATATGGAGGGACGACGGGTGAACAAATATAGCAGTGGTACTCACTGGACACTATGCTGAAAATGAACTATTCAACTTGTGGGTGGGATGAGAGGGAAAAACTGGGAGAGAGTAAGATCAAGGGTGACATTGTCTGAAAAGGAATGCATTCATTATCTGACTTATGTAACTGTAACCCCTCTGAACATCAACTTTATAATATTTTTTTTAAAAGAATCAATTCTGAGTTCAAACTCCAGTACCACTAAAAAATAAAAAAGGCCTAGTATGGTGGATCACACCTGTAATCTCAAGTAATCAGGAATTGGATATTGGAGGACTGCAGTTTCATGCTAGATAAGGCAAAAATAATGGAGATCCTCTCTTAATAATGGAGACATGGCACAATGTGTCTGTTATCCTAGCTATGTGTGGGAGTGGGGGCCATAGGTGGGAGTATGGGGTCTCAAGCCAGTTCTGGGGGGAAAATGTGAAAGAGCCTGACTGAAAATAACTAAATGAAAAAGGGCTACGGGTGTAGTTCAAGAAGTAGCGTGCCTATTAGCAAGTGTGAGGCCCTTGTATGGCACTAGTACTGTACCTTCACCCCCCAATAAAAAAGTTCAGCTCTGTAAGTTCCACTTGTTTCTTTTTTTATACTTTCTATTCTCTTCACATCATGTATGTTTTCCTGGCAGACAATAAAGGTCCCTGTAATAAGAGCTATTTAAATATTTTTGGGGGTTAATTTCATCCCCTCTGTCATTTCTAGGCAGGGTTGCTTTTGATTGTTATACATTTCAATTTGCATTGCTGAGTACTATATTTTGTTGTATAAATTACTTTCTAAGTTATTTGATCTTTTCAAGTGTTTAAAATTCTTTCAAGAGAGAGGTAGAAAATCCTTTGTTCCAGGACAAGGTTGGCTCCACTTCTGAGGTACAGTTAGTTCTTCTGGGCATCTGTACTGAATGTCCAGGTCTTCAGTGATGTCTCTTTACTAGCTGAAAGAAGGGAAATGATGACTGTCCCTGTGTGAACACCTAGATTGATTCACTTTATAGTTCTGAGGAATTAGTTTCTTAGCATGTTTTTCTAGCCTGGTTTTGAGTTTTAGAACTACCTAAAACCTCATGGAATTCCTACGAAGATTTCTGAAATTCTCTTCATAGCACCCTCCTCTTTGGACCATTATCCCACAAATGTTATCTACCTTGTTCACAAACTTTGATTCCTATTTCTTCATTTCAATTCTTCTACAGTGCTTTCTTTTCCTTGAGCT